ATGTCTCTGCTTTGTCTACATCCCTGTGTCAAGTGACCAACCTCGTCAAGCAACAGACCAATGTTCTCTCTGATTCCCCTTTTCATAATCTTGATCCTGGTTTTCATTTTATAAATACTCTACATAGCTCAATCATATAGTTAGACCATAAATACCTCAATATATTCTACTTCCTCATCGTTAGTTACTCAGCTTTGAACAACTCAAGCAACACAAGTTAGTAAATTCTAGTGGCATGGTCTTCAAAGCCTATCTGTTGAAATACAAAGGTATCTACCCTCAAGAAGTTAGAACATGTAAGTGATCTAGCAATAAAAGTTTCACTCATTAGCAGGATTAGTCCAGGGAGAATGAGATCAGTGTCTTTCCTGTGAAATGTCCAGTTGAAGACTTGATAAAATCAACAAGTGACCAACCAGCTCATCTCTCTCCTTTTCTCCCATATAATTCAGGTGGCTGAGCACAGGGAAGAGAAGTCTATTTCTGGTTGCATTCAACTAAAGAAGCCTCTTTTCTGCCAACCCTCCATGCTAACCATGCTCCAGAGCAATATCTGGGGGTGGGGAGGTGTTCCCTTTTACCAATAAACAGCTGCAAAAATGCTTCCTATGAAAAGGACATCAAAAAAGTAACTTTTTGTCTGTAACTATCTGCCTTTGGAGAAGATAATTTATTAACTATATTTCAAAGACAAATCAAACTGGGAATTCCCAAATGACCTAGAAATCAAGGAAGATGCTGAGTGTGACAAATCCCCACTTCCTTATAGAATCAGAATATATAGAATAAAGCATAAAGAATATCCCTCCCTTTTCCCCAAACAGGATATGCAGCATTACAGCCCCTACAATCCAACATACAATTAACACTACATTCCATCGTAATGATTCAAAATAATAGTTTTCTGGGCCATAAGATAAGTCACTCCTGGAAAAATAATTGCATTTTCATATAAATAAATTCAATTTTCACCTGTAGAGCAAAAATGTGCAAGTTTGGCACTGCAATAATACATTTTAAACATTCACCAGCACAGAGAGACCATTGCAAACTTTTTCCTGAAAGAATTTTTTTCCCTACTATTTTAATCAACCAGCAATCTATTAAAAAGCTGAAATTTGAAGTTTTATATTAATATTATAATTAAATAAAATCAGAACATGAACAACAGGAACCACAGTGGTAATAACAGTATCTTACTCTACCTCCTCTGTACCTTAATTATGTAAGCACTGAAGAAAAACTTGCGTAATGAAAAAATACCTTACTAAATGGAAAAGAAACAATATTAATTTTCATAACAGATAAAAATAGAGACACAAAGAACAGAGAAGTTTGGCAAACAGACTAGATGTCACCTGAAATAATACTGGCTTTCAAAACAGAGGTAGCAAATCCAGTAGAACCCATAATACAACTGGCTGCTTCTACCCAAGTAGCAGAAAACGTTAGCTAGTCAGATAAGCATTCAAAATTTTATTTTAGTAGTTTTGTTAGAAGGTAAATAGCATTTTTTTTCAATGTTTTGATTATATTTCCATTTGTGTAGATGATATCTTGCACATGCTTCCAGCTCCACCTTGGCAAACTCACTTGATAGAATAACATGAACGGCAAACTTTATAATAAATCAAATTACCCTAAGATCGTAAAATCATAGAATAGTTTGGGTTGGAAGGGACCTTTAAAGTTCATCTAATCCAACCCTCGTGCAATGAAGCAGGAACATCTTCAACTTGATCGGGTTGCTCAGAGCCCCGCCCAACCAGACCTTAAATGTTTTCAGGGATGGAACCACCTATCTGGGCGATCTGATCCAGTGTTTCTCTGCCCTCATTGTAAACAATTTCTTCCCTATATCTAGTCTAAATCTACCCACTTTTAGTTTAAAGCCACAGGCCCTACTAAAAAGTCTGTCCCCATCTTCCTTATCAGTCCCCTTTAAGTACTGGAAGGCCACAATAAGGTCTCCCTGAAGCCTTCTCTTCGTCAGGCTGGACCCCCCCAACTCTCTCAGCCTGTCCTTGTAAGGGAGGTGCTCCAGGTCCCTAATCATCTTCATGGCCTCCTCTGGACCTACTCGAGCAGGTCCATGTCCTTTTTATGTTGAGGGCCCCAGAGCTGGACACAGCACTAATGGTGGGTCTCACGAGAGGAGAGGGGGAGAATCCCCTCCCTTGACCTGCTGGCCACACTTCTCTTGATGCAGCCCAGGGCACAGTTGGCTTTCCAGGCTGTGAGCGCACACTGCTGGCTCATGTCCAGTTTTTCATCCATCAGTACCCCCAAGCCCTTCTCCACAGGGCTGTTCTCAATCTGTTCCTTTCCCAGCCTGTATTGATACCGGGGATTGCCATGACCCACATAAAGAACCCTGCACCTGGGCTTGTTGAACCTCATGAGGTTCACGTGGGCCCACTTCTCAAGCTTGTCTGGGTCCCTCTGGATGGCATCCCGTCCCTCAGGTGCGTCAACTGCACCACTCAGCTTGGTGTCATCTGCAAATTTGCTGAGGGTGCACTCAATCCCACCGTCTATGTCAATCTCACTGTTTACTGATGAACATACTCAACAGTACTGGTACCAATATGGACCCATGAGGTACACCACTTGTCACCAATCTCCGTCTGGACAGTGAGCTGTTGACCACCACCCTCTGGATGTGACCATCCAATCAATTACTCATCCACCAAACAGTCCACCTATCAAATCCATAGCTCACCAATTTAGATCAAACTAACCTGCTATTTTAACCTAACAACTTTCTATGGTTCTGCTAACCACACATCAAACTTTGAGGCACTATGATGGATACATACTTTAGTGTCCTGGGTTGAGTGAATGGTGGTTTTTTTTTGGTGGCAAGGGAGGGGGCTATCAGGGCGGTCCCCTGTGAGAAGCTTCTCGAAGCTCCCCCAGCTCCACGTCAGCTCCACTTCTGTTTGGGAAATTGAGCCAATCGGCTGCACCTCTGCGATAACGTATTTAAGAAGGGACGTGGTGACGGGCAGTCCGACTTGTGAGGAGGAGTTGCTGCAGCTGCATGAACACCAAGGTCAGTGGAGGAACAGAGGAAGAAAGGAGGGGGGAGGTGTGCCAGAGCAGAGACCCCCCTGTATCCTGTGGGGAGACGGCAGGGCGGCCGCCCCTGCCACCCATGGAGATCTACAGTGGAGCAGAGACTGATTTATGGCCTGTGGCTTCTGCTTGCCTGATCAAGGTTCTGTGCCCAAAGAAGGCGGGGGTCTCATGGGAAAAGGCAGCCCCACTGCTGTAATTCAGTGCTGGGAGGATTGCAGCATGTGGGGGTGTCCCACGCTGGAGCAGCTCGGGAAGGGCTGCAGCCGTGGGAGAGAATCCAGTCAGAGAAAGTTGGTGACCCATGACGGAGCAGTGTGGGGAATGCTGCGGCCCATGGGAGGAACTCATGTCGGAGAAAGTTTGTGGAGGACTGTCTCCTGTGAGAGGGGGACCACGATGGAGCAGGAGGAACAAGTTCCAGACACTCCCCTCACCAAAGATAAGGGAAGTGGCAGTGCTGACTGCACCCCCCATTCCCTGCCCCTGCACCACTGGGGGAGGAGGTAGAGATATCGGGAGCAGAGCTGAGCCCGGGAAGAAGGGAGGGGTGGGGGGAAGGTGTTCTCAAGATGTGGCAATGCTTCTCACTGTCCTACTTTGTTATGTGTTGTTAGTGTCTGTAATAAATGTATGTTCTTTTTTTCTTCCCCTAACGAGTCTGCCTTTTGCTCGTGATCATAAAGGGGATTTTTTCCCCATCCCAGTCCTATCTCGAACCCCAAGCCTGGCTCTGTGTCCCTTCTCATTGCCAGAGGGGAAGGGAGAGAGAGCTGCTGCATTGTGGTTGGCTGCCAACAAGGCCTAAACCACGACATTTAGACATGAATATTGTCAGTAAGAACTAAGAATTTGTTTGATGTCAAGGTCAGTGGTTCTCAAGACATGAAATACTAGGCTGCCAAGAGAAATACCCACCTTTAACTTCAAGCACTATTGAAGGGTCATGGAATAAGGAGGCTCTAGGAAGAGCTTCCCCCCAGAAACTCATTTTGTGTGAAGTCTCCTAAGAGATATTGGCTGATTAAGTCGCACAATTAAAAGCAGCACACAGATTTCCTAAAAGACCAAAGAAAGTTCAGGTCTATTAGAAGAAATGACATAAATATAACAAAGTAAGCAGCAAGGAAACTGAAAGTTTAGAAGTTTGCATAAACATGATCCTCATTATTACCAACTATCCTAAGTCTTCAAAACCCAGTAAATCCTAGTAGCCAGGAACGTATATTGATCACATACTAATTTAAGGGCAGACCAGATACTGCTCCACAATTTTAAGTCAAAAATTGTTAAGATTTTAGATAGAACTTGAAAAATTGTTCAAGTTATTTCTACCACTGATACCCATCTTTCACTGCCAAACTTGAGCAAATTCCTTTAGCAGGAAATTCATATTGTATCTGAAATAAGTTCGAGGCCTGGCAGAAAATGCAAGTCACAGAAAACAGATTAAGGACAAAGTTCTACCCTACTATCATCCTACATGTGTTGAGCAGCCTTTGGCACACCTGTCTTTCCAAAGTATACCATCCTGCTCCAGCACTGCTTGAAGTTAAAACAATCAATCACCCCACCATTCAAATACATACTGATAACAATGTAGACACAAATTGCACCTACTGTACACTGAAAATGATAGATTTAGACAAAACTAAGTTCTTTAACTGAGGATTTTCTCACTGATGTGCAGTTTATTTACTCATTACATTAATTTTAATTAATTTCCCTTTAGAAGGATTATCTATTTTCTAGACAATTATAATTCATTAATGTATATACACTACTTTAAAAATTAAACTAACAAATTTTTCAATATACATAAGCATGCACATGTTTTCTTGAGTGATTTTGCTGTTTCCTATGACTTCATGGAAGTCTGAAACAGAGATGAAGCAGGAAAAGAAAATACAATATAGTCAAGCTTTGTCAAATGCATATGTGGTTTTATTCCTGTGTCCAAGTATGTAACATGGGATATTAACCTTAAATAAGGACAGTGACACATCAAAACTGGACAAGGCTCAATTATTTTCTGGTAAATGAAAACTGAAAATTGTTTACTGTTTCTCTGAATCAAATGACTTAGTATTGAATGCATAAAACATTCTTTGGAAGTTATGTAAGTTTGGAATAGAACTTTGTAATTCAATTATTTGAAAAACATTGCATGGAAAATCTTGAACATGTCCTTCTTTCTCTGTCATCAGTAATTCAGCCTATTCAGAAACACAGTTTGGAAGACAGAACTTCAGCATAGAGGGGCTTATTTTAAAAGTCATTATTATAAAAAGTTACCAGAATGCATTATGTATTTCAAGTCCACATTATTTTTGTGGCAATTCGTTGTGATGGTTGTCAGTCAGTTATTCATATTTGTTTTGATGGTCTCTCCAAGACCATTAGTTTTGTTCTCTTCTAGATAAGTAGCTCTTTTCTTAGTAAAAGTAGCAAACAGTGTATCCATCATTCCTAAAACTTCTAGTAGTTCTTCTTGATAGTCAATCTCTTTTCCTATGGCTTCCTGAAGTCTCAAGAATTGTCTATCAACAATCGCCGACTGCCCAACCACAGGCTGATAAATGTCTGTAAAGAAAAAAGTCATTTAAGGATCTATGTATCTATAAAAACATGCAAATAACATTACCTGGTTAGAGATGCATTTAAAAGGAGTCTGGCATAAATCCAACACTGTGGACAAATAAGACAGCTTTAACAGTGTTCTGATATTAGTGGTTATTATTGGTATGTACTCACAGTAACAGTAAGTCAAACTAACAGAAATAGAAGTTTTTACAACCCCAAATACTATTTTTACCTCACTGGAGAAGTGAAAGTCACTTGTACTATGTAAGTATACAAATACGAACTATCAAAGATATTTAGAGACTATGAGGAACTAACTTCCTGCAGCAAGTGCAAATTAAATACTGACTGTGGCCAAAGTTATCTGGCAATATCTCTTTTTGGATCGTTCCCTTGACACTAAGTTCATAATTACAAACATGCAAAGTTTGGTTTCTTAAAAATGTAGCACTTTTTACCTTATTTCCAAGTTATCTACATGGCTTTGATAACCTTTATTGTACTGTACTTACCAGTGATGATATCTGCAACAGTCACCAGCACAGAAGTAAATCTAGGCTCAATCACACGCCTGAAAAATTAAAAGACATCCCAATTTTACTGGTTTGGCAACTGTAGTCCTTCTCCCACCAACAAGCAGCTTTCTCATGCAGGTGTACAGGCAATTTTTTCTTCATGAAGAGACGTCACAGAACAGCAGTCACAGATGCAAGTCAAAAAAAAGCTACATATGCGGTATTTACCCTCCTCCTTTCAGTAAGGCAGTGGGGGTTGCAGGACTGCCAAAAGCCTCAGGTACATGAAGACACGAGTTTCATTGAGGAAACAGAAAATAATAGACTAAGGGTAGAATGTCTGGCAAAGAAGTAAAATATACTCTCTCACCCTATAAACAAAATTGTATTGTGCTAACAGGTAAACCATTTCAGTACTATCCCAGATCTTGATATCAGAAAGCAGAAGGCATGTGAGATTTCAACAGTACCAATGTTCCACCCATGATCTGTTCAGACTCTGTGTCAAAAGCTATTAAAAAATAAGGGTCTCAGAAGAGTAACTCAGGCTAAAATAATACCTTGCCACAAAGGTAAGAAGGAGATTAACTTGCTTCTCGTCTCGGCCTGCAAGCGCACTCCTCAGTGTTCCTCTGCGATGGAGTTCCTGCATGACTGCTACCGTAACTTCAGGAGTATAAAGCCTGATGGGTGGCTGAACATATATAAGAGCAGTTTATACCAAAGCAATATCTTTACACTCAAATCAGGGCTGGTATCAGCAAAACCAACCCAGAACCCACACAAGTTTGATTCCTTTCTAGTTATACACTAAAATGAAATTATTTCCACATACAGAAAAAAATCCATATCAGATGACAGCATACCACTCTGATGAGACAAAAAAAAAATGTCTTACCTCAAGTACCGCATCAAGGGCCTTGGAAGACTGAAAGCTCTTCAGCAGCTTGTCATATTTCCTCAAAACACGTTTTGCAGGTTTACTGACACAGAAATCTTCCTAGAATTAAAAGACAAGCTCAGAATAAGACAGACACACATAATGGATTAGATGTATTATCATGAACAAGATTACATGTCTTTCTATCTTCCATCTTTTCCCTTTCTTCAACATAGCACAGTCAAAAAAAAAATTTTTTTCAGGAGTGCTTCAGTATACATTTTCTCACTGTCCTATACCTGCTTTGGCACGTAAGTTCTTCCTTTCACATGGGTTCTATATGCTGGTTGTCTCTTCTGAGAATTCTCTTTTTTTTCTTCAGGTTTTCTGTGTTTAACATTTAGTACCCCATTGGTCATGCCTACAACTACGGTTTCATCTTCAGGCTGCAAAGAAGAAATCACAGTTAGGAACCTAGTGTTTTATTTGATGATGCATGCTCTACCATACAGATTTTCAAATTTTTATGCTTCACGATTAGGCTCTAATCACAATATCACAGAGTAACTGGTTGGAAGGCACCTCTATGAGGTCATGGGGGTCTAATACTTTGCTCAAAACAGGGACAGCTTCAAGGCTGTCATCATTACGTAACATTATCCATCTAATAAGATTTTAACAAACACCTAGAGGGACTACACCTTGACAAATGAAGCAAGTTCAAACATGCATTAGCATCCTTCTGCAAGCATAATCTATGACAGAATTTGTTTTTTTCAGTGGTGTACAACTGCCTTTGTACTATCTATGAGAACACTATCACGGAGCAGCAGAATTTCAAGAAACAAGTGAAAGTTGTTTAAAATACTGGTCACTAATATAAATTTCACTTACATAACAAAGGTTGCATGTATTTGATGCTGACATTTCTAATTTCAAATGATCCACTGGAGAAAAACAACTGACTACACATATAAGAGTTGAGTTCTGACCTGTTACTATTGTCAGATAATTCTATGAAAACATTAAACATTAGCTGAATGCTCAACTGCTGGTAATAAAAAAAAAAAAGGAAAAAAGAGAAGTGTTAGGAATTACTACAGAAGAAAAAAAACTAGAAAGTCATTATGCCATTGCATAAATTTACTGGTTAGCCGCATCTTAAATCCTATGCAAGTTAGTCTCAAAAAAAAGTAGAATATTCATAAAAAACAAACAACTCTGAAGAGAATCAAAGACTGGCTTGATTTGAAACTCTTCAGTAAGGGAAAAAAAAGGCAACTGAGGATGAATAAGATAAAAGCCTACAAAATTATGACAGATATGGAGATCAGCTGGTCAATGTCTAATTTAGGGGCATCAAATGAAACTAATAAAGTTCACATGGAACAAAAGGAGGCAATTCTTCACACAACAAGTAGCAGAAATGTCCTTGTCAAGGAATCTAGTGGAGGTTAGAAGTCTGTCCAAGCTCAAGGAGAGACTGAGCAGGTTTTTGTATGAGAAAATCTTTGAATTACAGAGAAATTACACTCTGATGAGCTAATTTCTCACCTGAAAATGAGCTTGGTGTTTGGGAAAATATCAGGAAACCTATCATACACACTTGCCCTGGTTTTAATTTTCCATTCTACTTATGGCTATAGTTGGAAGCAGTGTCCTGAATTAGTCCAGTCTTCGTTTTGACCCAGTAAAGGCAGTCGTATGTTCTATAACCATTTAAAATTCAAGGGGTTTAGTTAACAGGAAATGAAAGATAATGTTTCAGAAGATATATACATGGCTCTAGAGATGCCAAACTACAGCAGTTGCAAAATGTGCAATACCTGTAGAGGCTTAAAGGGTATGGGTTTTTTTTTGTTTCTGTACTCTTCACCTCAACCAAAATAACTGAAAACTCATATAGCTCTAGGTCCCTAGACAACAAGGTATGAAATGAAGAGTGGAAGACACCCCTTCCACACACACCTTCCCTGGGTTCCACAAGAACAGGACAATAGTAAAGTAGCAAAAGTAGTAAAGATTCCTCAGAGTCCCTTTTACATGTCCTTCAGGTGACTACATGACGACAGCACTGTTTTAAAAAGTGGTGCTAGCCTCCAAATTTCTGGCCAGGAGTCACTTATCCATTAGAGCTCAAATGTTTCTGAGAAATAAGTGTTCTATTTTCTGTTTCCAAGACAGCATGATGCATGCCTTGACAAACAAGTTTGGTTAATGCTCATATTTCATGCCTTCTCCTCTTTTACTCCTCAGACCAACCTGACAATCAACCACTTTCAAGACAAGTTTACCCTATTTTAAATTTCTCAACAAATGAACTACTTTTTTTCTTTTATCACTACCACACAAGAAGACTCACAGGGTTCCTGAAAGGCAAAAGATGAGTACAACCTTCTTAAAATCAAGGACCTCCCTTCTAAACTGAATACTTTCCCTATGATATATACACTGTCCTTGATAGACACACGATTTTGTACAGATCTAATCAGGTAGTATCTGGCATCTGAATGTATTAAGTTTAAAACCTCTTAATGCATTTTTAACTCAGGAGCAATATATTCAGTCATCCTACTTTGAATGTACAGTATTCTTCCAAAACACCCAATAGCAATGAAAGCAAAAATTAATTACTTCAGTGACTCAAAAGGTATCATTAATCACCTTGCCAAGAAGATTTCTAATGTACTTACCGACAATGCAAGACTAAGGATGGATGTTGCATAGTTAAAGCTGTGGACTACTTTGTAGGAAGTAGTACTGTAAATCTTCACATGCCTATACAGAAAAGTAATGATTAAAGCCTCGTTACTAATGCCTTATTGTAGACAGTTTACAGGAATTTCTATAGGTCATTCAAGGAAACTGGATATTTATACAAAGCATTCTTCAGAATACCGATGAGCTTCTTAGTTATTACCTCTTCTGCAACAGAAACATTCTGTTAGAAGATACACAAAGGTCAAGAAAGGATTACCCTTATCCAATAAAAAGATGAAAACGGGGCAAGGACAGAAGAAGAAACTGAAGGTAGGTGTAGTGACTATCTGACTTCAGCAATGCTTATTAGGAAACACTGTGGCAGTATCTCTTCAAATTTTTCTTAAATTTTAAATGCAAGATCTATTGACAATTTCTGGAAGTAAAACCATAGATATTCTTGTATCCGGTGGCTCTTTAACAATTTGGATGAAGGTAGGAAATATTTAACAAATGGGAAAATAAAACATATCTTACAACAAGTATGAACTTTAGTGTTGTGAGCACTGAAAATAGCTGCACAGCTAGTGTGATCCTTCAGCTTATGCTTCATAATCATAAAGCCTGAGGAAACCTAGGGATTACAGGAGGAAGGGAGGGAGAAAACAGACCACTGTAATTTCAGACCACTTCGTATTTCCGTTGTCTCAGAGACAACAGATTGAATACTGGTACTCAACAACTTGACCCAAACAAACAAAAAATCAAGGACAACATTTCACCTGTGCACCTTGGGTACAAAAAGCAACAGCACAGAGACACAAAAACCAGGCTCTTTGAAAGTGAATACTAATATGCTTTCAGTTATTTAAACAGTATTAAAGTGAAATTAAGAATAGTTACTTTACAGAGACTGCAAAGGTCAGTTTAGAGATTCAGAAAAATGAACACTTATTCAGAAGTTCCCCATACGCATTCCCAAACAGCACATGCAATCCTTACTGACATTTAGGCTAGTAAAAGGTTAATGTATATCACAGTATGTACCTTGGCCCAAGACATGTTTTCAAGTAAGTTATATCTCTAACAGCTAAATGTGTTTAAGCCCCAAAAACATGCACAGATTCACAATGATGTATAACAACTTACAAAGGAAAAGAGTCCTAAAGATTTGAAATCACAATAAATCCACAAAATACACTAACCTGTCCAGGGATCCTGACAATAACCTTTGTCCAGAGCTGTTCAGGCATAAACAAGTTACAGTTTTGTGGTGATTTTTAAGTGAAACTAGTAATTGTCCACCTTTTAGTACATCCCAAACTTTGACATAGCGACCTCCTGTGAGAAGGAAGCACACAAAACAGTTTGACATATGTACACATTTATGCTTCTCTGGGGAAGTTTTCACAGGGTGATACTGTGCCTCCTTCGTAACACAGTTTTCTGTACCTACTCACCATCCCCATCCATTATGACTATCTCCTGGGACAAGACAGATTACAAGCCTTACCTTTTTTAGGCCATTCTGCAGGCACAGGTGAATGATTCAAACTACTCCTTACCAAAAAAAATATAGATACCACTAAGTTACAGGATTTCTGATTCAATGGCATCATTAAGAGAAAGATACAGTCCCATCTTTTCAAAACTTCTTAAATTTTAGCACTGGGCTAATTAAAGTCTGTATCTTGTCATTAAAAATGCCTTTTTTTTTTTTTTTGAACCATATACAATAAAATCAAATCAGAGGCAAAAAGACCCCTACTTTCACCCTCCAGATCAACACTAATTCCTAAAGATCTTTGAGAAATCCAGCTTTTACATCACTCACCGCTTCATTATCAAATGAAAACATCACACAAGGAACTAGCAGCTGAAGTATTTCTCAAATTAAGGCCACAGAAAATAAATTTGATTTTATTGAAGTACCTGCAGATACTAGAAGCCCACCAGAAGGGAACAGAAGCACACTCTCCACAGGCTGGCCATGTTCTATTGTCATGACACTACTTTTTGTTCGTGCATCAAATAGTTTCACCGTGTGATCATAGGAACCTGCAAACGTAACCATAAATAGCTTCAGTTTCATAATTTCAGTTACTTCAGAAACTAAAACAGCCACATCCTATAATCTAAAGGAGCGCCTGACAAATAGAAAGAGTTTTAAACCATAAACATAGAACACCTTGTGGTTTACCTTGGTTAATTTACAGTCTTCTGCCAACATAAGTCTTCTAATTCTAGCCCTAGCAACATGTCAGGCCTTAAAAATCATTTAAGTCTTAATTTTATTTCCTTTCCATTAAGCAAATGTATTTATAACAATAAGTATCAGGCAACCTAATGAAACCTAGTCCCTTGTGCCTCTTGAAGTACAGAATACTAGTTTTTTCATAACAATTTACCACAAATTAATAGAAAGCTACTGTTAGGCAAACAAAGAGCAACTGGTTTCATGTAACTCCTCACACAACCTTTCATTTTGGAGCCTGCCAGTTTTGGGCTGTGCAAACTACAATGGAACTAGCGTTCTCTGGAAACCTAATAGAACACTTCAGTCAATCCCAACTACACTCACAGGATTTTCCCAAAACTTCTGAAGGTCAGTCAGAACACTCCCATTAAGCCTAATGGGCTAAAGCAAAAGGATGTTAAAAATTAGTTCGCTCAGAGTTTCCCTACAAACATCAGTGTCAAGCTTAAAAAGCAAGTAAAAAGGAAACAACAATGTAGGCACTGAGTTGGAAGACAGATCCTCCATGTTTAAAATATAATAAACAAGATCCTACTGTATCAAAACCTGTCTTTCTGAACTTTTTGTCAATTCAATCCAAAAGAAAAATACATAAAAATTAAAATCAAACCTGTTATAAAGACATCTGCATTCACTTTACTTGCACAGCCACATCTCACATAGTCAGTATGTTCACTGTATGAAACGATTTCTGTAGCGCTTGGAATATCCCACAAATTTGATGAATAATCATCGCCACCAGAAAATATTCGGTATTTATCAGACAGGAAGCCCACTACATGAACAGGTCTAGAAACCAAAATCCACAATATCCAAAGTTAAAACATACATGTTTCCAGAAGAATAAGTCTGTATGAAGAGCTTATTAAAGTATTCTCTCTAACTTAAAAGTGCAAAGTGTTTACTGTTGGAAGTTACAAAGCCTCACTTTAGAGGTTAAAAGCACTTTATTTTTTACATTTCCAGCCAGAAAAGGGTCATGCTGACAGATGCTTACCTAAGCATTGATACGGTCTGCCTTAGAGGTTTTACAAAGCTACTGGATGTTTATTGAAAGGCTGGAGGTTTTGCATTTGTTACTCAGAGGTCTGTGTACTAGCATTGTCCTTTAGAACAAATCTATAGTAGTGAATTTTAAGTATGACTGGCTTGGACACCTTTTTGTCCTTTAAAATCACTATTTAAATTGGTATTGTCATTGTGACATCCCAACAGAATGACAGGAAACACAGATATCCTAAATCTTATTACAGTTACCCTAACAGTTAGGACGCAAGATAATATCCAACCTACAAACACAGACCTTAAACAGAAACACTCTCAAGGTCTGTCTGTGTGCTTTCCAGTGAAAGGGGGTTTGCTGTTGTTGTTCTAGACAGATAAAACACGTCTTGGTCTTCCATAGAACAGCAATCTGTTTAATCTTAGCATTATACCTGTCTTCTCACTGACACGTCAGAACTCCTTTTCTAATTTCTTCCCAACTGCATCATCATGCACTTTTTCTGGTTTTGTTTTTGTTTGGGTTTTTTGTTGTTGTTGTTGTTTTTGGGTTTTTTTTTTTAAGGGATCCCTGCTCCTCCTGACACATTTCTTCACTGTTTTTGTTTAGAACTTTTTTAGAACTCTTCCTGCCAGCATCAAATAAAACATGCTTATCAGTGCCATGCAGTCACAAGACTATGTCTATACAACATACTAACAAACATCTACCTGAGATTGAAAATGTATTTATTCTTTCATGTACTCGATTCATATTTAAATATTATTTTTTTTAAATCACTCGAATTTTGAATTCGGTTTAAAAACCTGCTTGTCAGTATGATCTATGTAAGACAGCTGTAAGCAACATAGATCGCTATTATTCAGCTCTTCAGCAACATGCAAAGCAGACATGTAAATACACCAGACAAGCTTATATGCACACAAAGGAAAAACCAACACTGTCTTACTTAGAGTGACCATCAAATTGTCTCAGCGGTGCTCTTCCACTGATGTCAAAGAGGCGAATGCTACCCTCCTCGCTGCCAGCAACAAGCAGATTGCCATCATCTCTGTATGTGGCACAATAAGCTGCATCTCTGAAGCGAGAAAACGTTTTGATCGGCTCCTGAGAGTAACGACCATAAATGTGGATCTAGCAAAACAAGACAACGTTAAGTTTGCTCATATGATACCAACAGATGGACAAGAAAACCAAAACCTCAAAAAAGCCACTTACCCTTGAGGAGGCTGTGACAGCATAGTTATACGGAGAAACTGGGGAAAAGTCAATTTTATTTATTGCACCAAATTCCTTTATCTGAACAGGTGTCTGAAACAATTGCAATAAAGACAGTTAAATACACACAGGCACACCATCAAGACAAAAACAGCAAAACAAAATGCATTCTTCTTACAGAGAGCTCAAAACTCTATTGAGAACCAAAGCATTTTTTAAACACCATCCTACTGCTTCTCTTTTGCCAGGCTACTTCTGCTCTTACAGCTTTTTTTCTCCAATCCACGCATTAAAACAGGCCCGTTAATTACGTGGTTTGAGTTTAAAAAAAAAAAAAAAAAAAAAAAAAAAAAAAAAAAAGGCCACCTTATGCGCTCAGGCCTGTTTCGAAACACGGGGGCACAGGCCAGCCGTGCTCCCTCGGCAGCCGTCCCGCCGGTTTCCGGGCGGCACCGAGGCCCTGCCGCTCCCCCGCGGCCGCGCCACAGCCACCGAGCCGCGGGGCCGGCCGCCCCACGCCGCGCGGCGCTGCCCCCCTTCCTACCTTGTAGCCGCGCCAGTACACCGTGTCCTGCGTGATCCTCTCCCCCAGCTTGGGGCACGCCTGAACCACCACGGGCTTGTAGGCGGCCATGGCTGAGCGGGAGCGGGGCCGGCCGGGCGAGGCAGAGCAGGGCGCGGCGGCGGCCCCCGGAGGGCCGGGCGGGCCGGGGCAGCCGCAGGAGAAGCGCGGGGAAGGAGGCGCCGAGCGCACCCGCGCCGCGGCCGCTACAGCGAGCCCCGCGCCGGCCTCGCGGAGAGACAACACCCTCGTGGAGGAAGCGCGTCACCGGCGGGTGGGGGGGAAGGTGTGACGCGACGCTCCCTTAAAGCCAATCGCCGCCGTGGCGGGGAGGAAGGGCGTCACTTCCCGTCCCGGCGGGCGCGGCGCTGAGCCGAGCTGAGCTGGGGCGAGGCGGTGAGGCGCGGCGGCCTTGAGGGGGGTTCCCGAGGGGCCGCCGCCGCGCTCCGCAGAGGCTTCCCGTCCCGCGGAGGGCTCCGGGGGTGCCCGGCGCTGCCGCGGAGCCCGGCCTGACGTCAGGCGAGCCCCGGGTGTCGTGGGACGTTTTACTATCATCGGCCTAAAAGGGGTTTGTCGCTTTCCTGCACCTCCGGTAGAAGCCGTTTGTTTTACTCGGGTTATGAGAAGATTTAAGAGTCATAAAGCGACGCAGTCACTTTAACTTTTCCTTAAAGTCCTTATAGTTTCCTCCCGGCTTGGTATAAATTTGGTTGGTTGGGTTTTTTGTTTTGCTGCAACCAGACTAATATTCTATAACATCACTTGGATGGAACTCCTCCTGGCTTCCTTGTGGAATTTGGCTTACGTAGCCACGTGATAAAATGAAAACAGGGGATTTTGGTCAACAGCTTGTGACAGCAGTAGGATTGATACTTCACCAATTTTGATTTGACTGCCAAAACCAAATGCCATATGATTAAACAAAGCTCAGCTGGGTGGATTTTTGTGCATTACTTCACCAGAATGTTGTTAACCAACGTTACATGTGTTTAGTTGCAGGTTGCTTGGACATCCAGGTCTCTTTAGCTACAGCTGGGCTGGCTGGAACTGCTCTTGGCTAGAAACTATGAAGAAACATTGTGCATAAAACTTCTACATGACTGAGGACATGGCATCTTCAGCAAACCTAGATGTCGGGGCCCAGCTAATTGTGGAAGAATGTACCGGCAGCTACAGCCTTCCGCCCATGCCGGACATTAAAGTGGAGCACCAGCTTGACTCCAGCACAGAGGATAGTCCAGCTCAGAGTGTCGCCATGGGAATGAAATTCATTTTGCCCAACAGATTTGACATGAACGTCTGCTCACGATTTGTGAAGTCTTTGAATGAGGAGGACAGTAAAAATATTCAAGACCAAGTTAACTCTGACCTTGAAGTGGCATCTGTCTTATTTAAAGGTTGAACCTTATGGTACAAATGTGTGGACTGTGTCATACTGTTAAGCTGTTGTTTTGGGTTTTTTTTAAAAAAAAAAAAGCCTCTGATTTATGATGTGTGTTAATCAGTAATAGTTTTCTAAGATTTGTTCCTCTAGCATTTTTATTATGTATTTAGTGGATTATTAGTGTAAAATGAATTTCCCCCAAGATTATATTTTAAATCCACACTTTTAATATTCTTTTTAGTAGAGAAAGTAATGGTACGAAGAGTCTCTAATAAGAGCTGATGCTGATTATGAAAACAAGCTGCTTCTGTGTAGTATGTCCTGCAACATGCTATGCATTGCTGAACGTATGTATCTTTACAGAACACTACTGAAAGCACTATATGATCATTTCACCTTCACTAGCTTTCTGCAGCACATTTTAGCATTTCACTAGTGCGATGACAAAATAACATGGGTCATTCAATTCACTTTGTTTTGTCAATACAGCTGTACAAAGCCTGTAGTTATTGTAGCAACTGGCTTGCTAGTTTAGCTTCACGCTGCCTGAAAGCAGGTGTTGCTCCAGTTGTGGATCCCTGCAGCTAATCTCCAGCCATCACTGCCTGAGCGTATTGATGGAGAACAGAATTAGGGCTTCCCTCTCTTTCTCCTTAACGATGGTGGTTTCTAGCACTCACTATCATATTTCAGACTGTTAGTGATGTATCTTTTCATGAGGTTGAATTCGACCCATTTCCTGTAACACAGAGCTATGGTGGATTTTTTTATGTTTTTTTCTGATTTGTATTGCCTGGCTGCAGTTCAGCCATTGCAATTTTCAAACTCTCTTAATTTGCAGGCCCTAAATGCTTACTAGTGGAGCTGCAGACCTGAACGGCAAATTTAGACCCAGCAGCAATAGGGTTGTTTTTCTTAGGTAACATTTGTGAACCCCTTAGAAGTAGTCCTGTGAATCCAGATACTGCAGGTCAAAAATCCCTGGTGGGTCTCTTAATTTGATCAAGTTAGCTGTAGCTATTTGATTGGCAAACAAAACGTAATTTCATTTTCACCCTGTTACCCTCTACTTTTAATCCTCTCCCCAGATTTGCACTTGGCTTTATGATCATGAAGTTCTCTATGGTGTGAATTCAGCGTGCATGTTAACTAGCTTCCAGTCATTAATTACTCATGCACACTGGTGTCAAATCAATGTAGCCAATAATGGCGTTTAATCCTTCAATATGTCTTTCCAGTATTTAATCAGTTAGCTTCTTAAAAGTTACTTGGTTTCTCAGATACTTCTCAAAATCAAAAGCTACTTTTGAGAATTAGAAGCTAAGATAACACATATATTGTGTAATAAAATGCCATTAGATTCTAATAGAAAGCTAGGAAAGTTAATACAAATGAATGCAGCAGCACTGCAAGACTTCCTGAATTAAAAGTGGTGACCTGCTGTTGCAGTTTATGTACATTAGTGCGGAATCTTTCTCTTCCTGCTGGATAAGTATTCATAATGCAGTTACAGTTTTATCCAACAGGAGTGGAAAAAGTCAAGGTGAAGGAAATTATTGAAGGTTATCTTCACCCATGCAGTGGACTGGATAGGGAGTAGGCAAAGGGATGAACTGAGCAGTTACCTGACTGCATGGCTGACCAGAGCTGCATCATGTTACTGTGCTGCAGAGTGTTAGTAAGGGTATGGCAGGCTGAGTAAAGCCATCCTAGTAATGAATCCATGCCAGGCATGTTGAAAATCGAGACAAAGGCTTACTTCATTTAGGCACCCAACTTGCCTCTGAGTGACATTATGCCATACTGAATGTGTGGGGTAGCAGCATTGCTTATGCTGGAAATGAATACAGCCCTTCATTCTACTCCCACAATACACAGTGGAAAAAGCACATGTCACAAAGCTTACTTAACATGGGTTTTAAAGATCTTGTGATACTGGTGCTTTGTGGTTTGACTTGGAATCTGTGGCTTGCTTTTAATGCTCTTACTAGTACTAAAATCCTGTCTGATTTCTCTGTTCATTGTAGCTGAATGCAACATCCACACTTCTCCTTCCCCTGGTATCCAAGTAAGACATGTTTATACTCCATCAACTACTAAGCATTTCTCACCAATAAAACAATCAACTACCCTAACTAACAAACACAGGGGAAACGAAGTCTCTACAACACCTCTGCTTGTAAACTGTAAGTATCCTTCTGCCTTACTGTTAATAATTTTTTTGTGAACTGTATGTAAGATGCTTGACAGATTTTTCTGATTTTCCTTGGTGTCATAATGAACTTTAGTATAGGAAGAAAACATTGAGATAGTCTTGTCTAATTTCACGTGATATAAACCATAAAATAGTAATCCACCTGCTGTATTGAATACATGACTGAAATGTGTTTTGCAGAAAGGATCCAATTCTTGACTTGAAAAATAACAGGTAAACATTTTTCTGATCCTTTCTAAGCTTTAAGTTAATGTGCTTCATATACTTGTTTTCAAAACTTGGGCATCTTGTAAAATTTATTAAAATTAGGTGATTGGCAAGTGCTACAAACTGTTGAAAATGTCATGATTGTCATGGATCTTGAAAGTCAAGAAGGCAGTATTCTGTGGTTTCGTTATTCTTAGTTGTCAAGCATTTTCCTTATAAATTAATTCTCTATAATTTATTTAATCTGTAGTTTAATTCCTCTATGAATCCAATGTTCTTAAAAAAAAAAGCCTATTTTCATTGGAAAAATTAATCTGGGGCTGCAACTTAGGCGTCTGAACAAAATACACAGTCTTTCTGAAAAAAAAAAAATCAAACTTTCATGCAGTGACTAGGAAGAGGACACTGAACATTTATATATTATGTAATCAATAGCTTATTTGTTATGTTATAATATAATGTGGATAATTTATTACATATTCCCTCCTGAGGACCTTTCAGACTGCTTCAAATTGTAATTATCAAAGCCACACACCTGTGCAGAGTTTATTGTGGGATCAGAGGTTTATTTCTTCATAATCTCTTAAGAATTATTCTGCTTTTAGTGCTTGGGACTTTTAATTAAAAATTAAAAAAAAAAAAAAAAAAGAAAAAAGAAGAAAATTAACATCAAAAAAAAAACACCAAAACCACAATCTGTTTTTTTTTCTTCTGTAGATGTCATGTTGTGTATAGTTGTGTAATGTCTGATCTATTCCACATTGTAGTGAGTGAGTCATACTACAGGCTTTATTGAGCAGCATGACAGGTCTCCCAATGGCATGTGATCTCTTAGATGTCATTTTTAAACTACACAGTCTTAATTTTTATCAAAAGATACTTATTTTAATTTGATAAATATTCTTAACGTCGTCATGGGTTGCTGACCCAGCAGCAAAGAAGAAAGCATGTTGCCTTGAGAAGAGTCGGTGTAGGAAGTATCTTTGCTTTCAAGTATGACTTATACATTGGTTAAAAAATTACCTAAACCTATGAAACTCTTTGGAAACTTTTCAGTTTTTAAGATAGTGATTCCAGTTCAGAGTATAAGGTGAAACCTATCTGCACTCTTAAATCCAAGTTCTGTACTGCTCAGGCCAATGGGCATGTTGTGCCCCGCTCTAAATAGAGCAGAATTAAAATTGATATCTGTAACACTTGCTTTTGCTTCCCTTTTTTGCAGCTTTATCAGTTCATCAGCTGGCTGCTCAGGGAGAAATGTTGTATCTGGCCACACGTATTGAACAAGGTGAGACAGAGGGAGGTTAAATGTCTTCCTTTTTTCTTTGAGGCATTTACACCCTGTTGTGCTTGACTTTTTCCCCAAAGCTGTATTTTTTAAAATCCTCACTTCTGGTATAAATTGAAGGAAATTTGAGGTATCAGTTCTTTGTGGATGTGGATTATTGTTTCACATCAATTTTTTATTCACTTACTGATATGATTTGGGTTTTTAATTAAACATTAGTGTTAATAGGAGTTGTAGGTAAATCCCTTCTTCCCTCTTCTCCCAGCTATATAGGTAATCCATGCAAATGAGAAGAGAGAATCTGTTATATCAGAAGAGTTAATTATTTTTTTATTGTTATCTTTGTAATGTTAAAACACATTTCTATTAATGTTGGCTTTCCAGTTCTATTTAACTAATCAACATATAAAGCTATATGTTGGTAATTTAAGCCATGGCTCAAACCTGCAATATAATAGTCCTACTCATTCTGAGTTGTGTGACATTTGTATGTCCGTAATACATATAAAAATTTCAACTCTACATAACGAATTGAGTACCTTTAATAGTATATTCTTATCGTACTATTAGTAATCACCTATGTTTTCAGTGCATTTTTGTTGGTATGTTTGCTGGAAAGTAGGTAATGAGTTGCCAGGTCTATAAATTTTGTAACGAGCCATGTGTATAGAAAGCAGATCAATTCTGGAGTGTCAGTAGGAGTTAAAAACACATACTGTGGTGCTGTGATAAGCATGGGATTTTTTAGGTACTTACGATATTAAAAAAAAAAAAATCCAATGTAACTATTTCAGTTAGCGAGTTGTTAAAAAAAGTTCCTTTTCCTTCTTTAAGCTGCACTAGAAATAGACCTTAATTGTTTCCACAAAACACCCTATTCATTACAGGAACCTGGGGGGAATGGACTTATACTATCTATATTGCTCTACAGGCCAATTCTTTACAACATTGTGTGGCTCACACTATTCAAAACAAACCAAAACACATTCTGCAGCATAATACAGAATGTATCTCTCTATTTTTCAAGCAGCCTTTCTCTTCTTTCCAAAGATAAACCCAGATTACAGACAACTTGTAACATTTATGAGTAAAAACAGAGCTTGATTTATAGAGCTTAAAGAAAAATAAACCCAAATCTTACATTTTACTGGGTTTTGCTGTTGTTTTTCTTTCTTGGACAAAGATATTTGCACCATCATTGGGATAGAATTTTGTTTTTAAAGTCAAGATGGGAATGACTTTTAGGATGCACTGGTACCTCAGTCCATTCACCAGGGATACATCAACGCATTTCACCAGCTCATAGAACGTGTTAGTGAAAGGGATTACTAAATTTCATATTTTTCTTTAAACAGAAAATGTAATCAATCATAAGGATGAAGAAGGATTCACCCCTCTGATGTGGGCTGCAGCTCATGGGCAAATAGCAGTAGTGGAATTTCTTCTCCAGAATGTAAGGAAAAAAACACACTTCACTTTAAATTTACTTTTTAGTTCAGTTTGCCTTCCTAAGTTTGTCAATGCTGCTACACACTTAAAAGTTTTAAAGTTAGGTTTTGTGTAAAACCTCACAATAAAAGAAAGGCATTTTTAATTTGAGTTTCTTATTATTTCAGGGTGCAGATCCTCAGATTTTGGGGAAAGGGAGAGAAAGTGCCCTCTCACTGGCTTGCAGTAAAGGATACACAGATATCGTCAAAATGCTGCTCGACTGTGGAGTTGATGTCAATGAATATGACTGGGTAGGACTCTACTTTGAACTTATGTCAGAAGGTGCTTTGGTCAGAAATTTGAAACAGGGTGCAGCACTGGCTTGTGACTGAAAATTGTTCTGCGTCTTCTGAAATAGCTGAGAGTTTCAAAACTTCCATGGGGCTAAGAAAAGTTGGCCCTACTAGTTTTGACTTCTTGGTAATAGGAGAATGAGACTAACTCTGAGTCCTTGTAGAGGGGTGAGATTACAGTCTAAACAATAGACAAAAAAGATGGAAGTTGTGAAGAACGAAAACAAAACCTAATTTTTAAAAAACCTGTGAACCTTCTTGATAATACGTAGAAGTATATTGGTGTGTTAAGGAATTAAAATTGCACACTGCTCAGTCATTAAGTGCCTAAAGCTTTCCTCTGCTTTTGCAGAATGGAGGCACACCTCTACTGTATGCAGTACATGGGAACCATGTGAAATGTGTAAAAATTCTCCTTGGTAAGCAGACTATGCAAACTGAATTATCACTACTAATGTACTATCAGTTCTCATTGTCAGAAATGGAGTTTCTTTTCCTGTTTTATATAGAAAGTGGTGCTGATCCAACTATTGAAACAGATGCTGGCTATAATTCCATGGATTTGGCTGTAGCCCTTGGCTATCGGAGTGGTGAGTATTGCAAATATAAATATTTTTATTTTTACTGCTCCTTGTTTATGTAACTACTGTAATGGCCTAGCAGAGGTTTTGCAGCTGTAAGATCCCTATCCTTCAAGTCTTAATACACCTAAATGTATCAGCCCAAAATGGGTGGCAGTTTCCATCCCAGTCTCAGAAAGCCGAGTACCTTGTTAGAGGATGTCACTGGCCTGGATCTGCATCTGTGGGCACACATAATGGTGTGTAGGGCGGGTGCAGCCATGATCCAGACAAGGGAACTGAGCTGCTCCCCCACCCTGTACAAAAGAATGTCGGTTGCACTGGACAGTAAGAGACCTGCAGCCCTCCCAAACCACTCACCCTGGTGCTCTGTTGATGGGCACAATGCGATGTAGTTTGCAAAACCTTCTTCCCCTGTCAGAGTAGCTCTAGCTCTAGTTTGTCTGGGAGGCAGACAGTAGTAGTGCCAGGATCAGTGAATCAGTCTACCTTACTTGATTCTGGAAAACAGAGGCAAAGAAGGGACTCTTGTTTTTACATCATGCTGCCTTCATTTTTGAAAGCTGTGAAATGTCTGCCATTACAGAAATTAACTGAATCAAGAAATAAGCTCAGAACTGCACACGTAGCTTCTCCAAGTAGAGCCTTGTGCTTATGCGGGGAGCCAGTAACTTCACAGATGTCTAGATGTAGGACTCCTTCAAGATTTTGATCTCAAAATGTTCCACAGAAGTAGGTTCTAATAAGTGGTTTTGCCTACTTTCCAGTTACAGGCTTAAAAATTTGCTTTCATATGCTATCTGCCTATTCAAACCAGAGAACAGATCATCACCTCCAAAAACCATTATCTGCATTACTGGGTGTATTGGTTTTGCATTCTGAGGCTTTTATTTACTGAAGGGATGCAGACTCTCTTCCCAAAGTGAATTTATTCCTGTCTGATTTTTATTAAATGATTGTACAAGACAAGCTGGCATCTACCACGAAAAAATAGTACAACCCTAAAAATGTGAAAAAACATTGAACATTGATTAACCTGAATTTTTTTCTCTGCTTCAGTTCAACAGGTTATTGAGTCTCATTTGTTAAGGCTACTTCAAAATATCAAGGAGTAATGATTCGCTCTTCTGTGGGTGTCAGTTCTTGGCTTGGAGAGTTGAATGGCTTTATGGCCCTGTAATCAGTGACAAGGGTTGGTTGTTTTGTAACTTTACCTCAGTTGAACTATTCCCTGGTTTTAGTTAAGCTTTTTTAATATTCTTCCTCATCTTTCATTGTTGCTCATAGAAATATGCAATGTCATCATTTTCTTAAATGTATTTTTTATAATTTTAGAAGTAGTAGTCAGTTGTCATGCATGAAAAACTTTGTAAATAAAACCAGTTTTAACCATCGAAATGTTTACACTGAGTGCAGTGGGTGGCACTGTGCCAAGTGTCCTACTTCATCACATCATCGATACATATTCAAAGACAGACATTTGTTTAGATACTGTGGTATATCACCCTAGTAGATAGATGTCTTTACTGTTATAATACCAAAATGTGCACCGTGTGTGATTGGTTTTAAGATCCCCAGTTAATATTAATGTGTCAACTTTTGGCTTTGTCCAATTTTTAAGAAGTTGGTAATAAACTGAAGAACTTTGATGATATCAGTGATTATTATAGTGATAACTCCTACCTGATTTCTTTCTGCCTGCCTCTGCTTTCCTGGTGTAGTCCTGAAACAACTAGGCCAGAGTGTCCTAGGTAGAAATGTCTCTGGTATAAGGAAACCTAAGTGCAAGTGAAGAATTCCTAGCTCCTAAATATCATTCCTGCAGTGGCTGAAAGCAGACATCAGCTACATGGGAAGAGAAGCCAGAGCCTACTGCATCCCAGCCCTCTTCAGTCAAAGTATGGTCCTTTGCATCACAGAATCACAGAGTATCTTGAGTTGGAAGGCACCCATAAAGATCACAGAGTCCAACTCCCTGATCCTTACTGGACTACCTAAAATTGAACCAGCTGACTAAGAGTGTCATCCAGATGCTCCTTGAACTCTGCCAGGCTTGGTGCCAAGGCCTCTTCCTTGGGGAGCCTGTTCCAGTGACCGACCACCCTCTCCGTGAAGAACCTTTTCCTAATGTTCAATCTGAACTTCCCCTGACGCAGCTTCATTCCCTTTCCTGGTCACCAGAGAGAGGAGATCAGCACTTCCCCTTCTGCTGCTCCCCTTAAGGAAGCTGTAGGCCACAATGAGATTGCCCCTTGGCCGTCTCTTCTCCAAGCTCAACAAAGCAAGCAACCTCAGCTGCTCCTCCTGTCTTGTGCTTGAGACCTTTCAACCACCTTCCTCATGCTCCTCTGGACACCCCCCAAGCAGTTCAGTGTCCTTAGATTGAGGCACCCCAAGCTGCACACAGGACTTGAGGTGGGGCCTCACCAGTGCGGTGCAGGCTGGGACGATCCCTCCTCTCGAGCGGCTGCCTGTGCTGTGCTCGATGCACCCCAGGACACGGTTGGACCTTTTGGCTGCCAGGGCACACTGCTGACTCACATTCACCTTGCCATCAACCCAGACCCCCAGATCTCTTTATGCAGGGCTGCTCTCCAGTCTCATGTCCCTCAGTTCAGGGGAATGTGCTGGTGTAACTGTTTATAGTTATAACAGCAATTACGATTTTGGAATTAGTTGAAAAATCAAGGCAATGTTAACTGATTTTCTGGGACCCCTGCCCTTCCTCAAAACTACACCGAGTGGTGAGACATGATAGCTTTGCACAAATAATAGCTAAGCTTTTGAAAGAGACTTCTCATAAGCCTTTCCCCTGACGGTACCTATGGATCCCCCATGTGTTGCTCACGTGTTTCCATAGGCATTTCTCCGTCGTCTCCACTAGAGGTCTGGCATCTAGTCACATACATGCACCCTTCATCAGTGACTGTCTTCCCCAGTCCCTGGGTACTGAGCCCAATCCAATTTACTCTCCACCTAGAGTTCACAAGACATGAGTGAACCCAGGTAAATTATTACATTCCTGGTATAGTGTCTCCACCGTGTTTAATTTTTCTATTTGACAATCATTCCACACACAAAGGAAATCAATACTGTTTAAAGCACGTGCACTGTGATTCTGACCAAAGGTACTAGAAGTCTGGGTTATAATCCAGCTGAGTTCTTTGAGTCAGAGCCAGAGAAATAATTAATTCAAAATGCTAACTTTGTTATTTCAAAGTGACTCAATATACAATAGGTGAAATGTAGAACTGAAACATCTGTGGTATACAGGTCTAAATCAGGTCAGAATTAACCTCTAAAAGGTTGGTTGTGTGAGAGCCAGTCCAGAGATCCATTTCTTTCATGAAGCTGAAATGTGAAATAGAGTGAACCTTAAGGGAGGTGAAGCAAGAAAATGTAACTGATATTGCAGGTGTTGGTGAAATCCTTGCTGCATTTAAGTGAGTATTATCTGTCTTCCAGGCTTTGACATGTATTTTTATGTAGGGTTTGCACTAGTTTTACTATATTATGCATGATTAAAGCAGATGAAAGAAACAGTAAATCTGACATGCCTTGGAAGCAAGAGAAGGAAACTGTTTCATAATCAAAATCTAGAAAAATATGTCTTATTGTAGGTAATTTTAAAGTAATGTGAAGTGGCAGTTACTGTAAGGTTGCATATTAGAAATATTGAGATTTAATGGCCTTTGTAAAAATCAAATGTTAAATTTCCATGTTTGTTGAAAAGCAATGCAAATAAAATGCAAACTCTGTTTTCTTGAAATATCATAACCTGAGCTATTTCTGATTAATTTTTAAAACATCTTATGTATAGACATGCTATATAAGTATGCATAAGGAATAGAATTTCCTTTTTCTGTATTGTCACAGGAAAGTACTTGTTCTAATTTATGAACCCTCAATATCTGCTTTGTATTTTGTCTTGAACTTCGGTCAGCGTTGAGTTAATATATAGGAAATAAACTATTGCCTGAAAACATATACTAGAAAACACATTTTTTTATTATATAGGAAGATACTGAAATAGAAGAATGTAAATTAAGACAGCAAAATGTAAAATTTCGTCCATCTTTTTGCTGTAGAATTTAAAGGAATTGTCAGATATTCATTACCACACACCCCACAAAAATGAGTACAAAGGTGAAAATGGTCATCTTTCAGAAGCCGTTTCCTGTATTAAGAGCCCTTTCTGTAGCATAACATTATGCTGATAAGGCAATGAGCATGGAATTGAAGTTTTCTGTGGCTCTTGTGAGGGCCCTTGTGGTGGCTCAACTTCCCCCCTCCTGGGCCACATACCAACCCAGGATGGATTGCGAAAGGCAGCGGACCAGAGCGTTAAGGCACCCCCTTAACATAACTGGCTCCTGCTACCCCTACCGCTTGAGAACAATAATGACAATCAATAACCTCCTGACAGTCTAATACATCTGCACCTGGGACGCGGCCCGAAGGGGTGTCACCAGAACTTCAAAATCTAGCAAGTTCTGGGCCTGCACAACTGGTAGAAAGTACCAGGGTATTTCCTCATCCAAGTTGAGCTGAAATGGAAAATTACCTGATAAAAGTCAATTATCTCAGGCCCTATAAATAGCAATACTAAGCAAGACCCTTTGAGCTCTCCTGGATCGCAGCAATCTCCTGGATCTTCCCTGAGCTGTGACATCTCTTCTTGAAGCTTGAAGATCATCTCCCCACAAAGCTGATAGAAAGCCTGGGTGAAGCTAGACTTCTTCTCGGCTCTCAATTATCACCCATTGAAAAATACCAATGCATTGTGAGTATTTGCTCCAAACTCCAGAAGGAGGAAATTTTAACTACAGGATAGCCTCTTTCATCCACCTCTTTACCTATCTACATGTTTAACTATGCACATTTACCTTCACGAGTGTGAGTATCTAAATATTTCACTGGATTCAACCAACTATTTCTGTCTGTGCATATGCTTTGCACTTATACATATGTATATACATATATTTTGATATAGGGTACCTTACAGTAAGTTAGTGTGAATCTTGACATTCTCAAATCTGTAATTAAGTCACTGTTTTAATTATAACATATTCTACAAAATCACCTTGTTAATCTTTAAACTGGTCGGTCATTAAGTGCTGCTAAAATTCAACCTTTTGATCCACCTCACACGATTAAAACTTGAATTGCTGCTAAAACAAAACCATGTCAAATATTTTCATCTGCAACAAGTCCTGCAGGGAACAGCCAGCACTATTTCATAAGCTATGATTCAGACACCCTGAGGAAAACTTAGTCAGAGTTAGCAAACAGGGAGGAGAAAAAAACCTGTGCAAAGAAAAAGCTTTACTCACTGGAAAAAAATCACTGTCAAGAAAGCACAGACAACTGCTGATTATACAATATTAACAGCATGCTTCACTCCACATACTTTGTGTTTGAGGCACAACAATGAATTTTTGTTTCTCTTGGTGTAAATACTTCTCAGTATTGTTTTCTTTGTTTATAGGGGTAAAAAGTGTAACCCCCCCTGATTCAATATTTATGTGTTTTGAAATGTTAGCCTGCTGATTTTGTTACAGTGAACAATTTCTGTAGCTTCTGATGGCAGGGAAAAGACACTAGGAGTTACCTTTGAACCACACCCATACGTCTGAAAGCAGCAGTGTTTCCTTGCCACAGCATGCCACAAGACCAGAGGAGTTTGAAAATTCTGTGGTCAAAATATTACCTCCAAGTTGATTCTCTCTAAATCTTTTACCAAAAGCTCTTGCCAATGTAATTTCTGTCAGGAATGTTAATAAAATATTTGACTTTTGAACTTGAATGACAGCATACTGTATTTCAGAGTGTTAACAAACACATTGCTTTTCCTGATTAAATTATTTTTGCCAAATTCAGTGTGCACCATGTAATCACAGGTGTCATGAACTCTGCCTCACAAAGCAGATTGCTGAGCAGTTTCACGTAGTAGTAACAGCCAAATGCTTCGGAGCTGCAGGAAGTCTTTGTCTCATTCATTCACATTTGATTTTGCATGCTATTCTGGTCTATTTAACAGAGGGAGTACACAACAAATGAACTCTGGTCTGCAATGCAGTGGGTACAAGATTTGTCAGGGTTAATATTAATTTACAGCTACTACTGGCTGCAACTGCTTAGAAACCTTACAGTGCAAGACAGACAGGCTTTATCTGTCTGGCAGGGAGGCGTAAGAAAGGTAACGAAGCAAGCAGCTCTGTTCATAGAGGGCAATAATATAGGTGTGAAAAATTCTACCAAGGAGAAAAAAATTTACACATCTACTTTGTAATGCTCAAAAAAATTCTGCTTTCTCACAGTTAGGTAGGTAATGGCTGAACCAACAAACCAGTGAAGAATAACCATAAATAGACTGTTAATATTTGGTTAGAAGAAGCTGAGATGCTGCCTGTAAAGTGATTCTTAAAAGGAACTGTGACCAGTGTGCCCTGCTCCTGAACCCTGGTTAGCATAACTAACACCAGCATAACTAATGCCATTTTAAAGGGCAATCAGCCATTCCCTGTGACCAACCAGGTCACACACTCGTTCCCTTTTCCCCGCCTCCCCCGTTATCAGGCCCTGGAGGTCCTGTGCACCAACTGGACAAACCAGATTTCTCCTCCCCCTCCCTACTGGCCTCAAAGCTCCTGGGCACCAGGCCCATTACTAAGCCCTTCCTTGCCTGCCTTGAAGGCCCCAGGCACCGGCCAACCCCGCGGTGTTGGTGGCCCCGCCACAGATCAGGGAAGCCTAACAGCACCCAGAGCACTGTCTGTAAAACCAAGCAGGTACAAGTCCTAAGGGGGAACTTGGACCAGAACTGCTGCTGGACTGTGAGACCTGGGACCCACCGGTGGCCGGGGATGCCTCCACTGCCGTCTGCTTCCTCCAAGGACCGAGGGAGTGACTTGTATTCTTCTATATGGTTTTCAAGTCTACATTATTGAGTGATTGTTATACTGATACAGCAAACCATGTATTAAGATCCAACCTGAACTGCAGAGAGTCCAAGCCATTAGAAATTACAAATTAAATTGCATTACTGTAATGGTTTAACCTCAGCCAGCAACTAAGGACCACACAGCCACTTGCTCACTCCTCCCCCCTGACTGATGCCCAGACAGTCCCCAACCAGTGATTTCCGCCCCCACTTGCTCCCCCCAGCCCATGCACTCCATGGTATGGAAAATCCCTTGGGCTAGTTCGGGCCACCTGTCCTGGCCACGCTCCCGCCCAGCCTCTTGTGCACCCCCTCGCTGGCAGAGCACGGGAACTGAAACGTCCTTAGCTTAGGGTAAGCACTACTCAGCAACAGCTAAAAGATCAGTGTGTTACCAACATTATGCTCACACTAAATCCAGCACTGCACCAGCTACTAGGAAGAAAATTAACTCTATCGCAGCCAAAACCAGGACAATTATAAATTCTGTATTATGCTACTTATAAATTGTAGTACATTGATCCTGTGCCATTCTAATCATAAGTTCTGTGCTATATTAATATTTTGTTAAGGAAAAAAATCTTTAATTGTAACTGCAACTTAGTGCCACCATCATTCTGCCAAGGATCCCTAACAGAACCTCTCTGTCTTTTCAGGTGACAGAATTGTAGCTTTAATTGTAAATATAAATATATACAGTTTTCATTCAGACAGGATTCAGTCAAGTGAGGAGTTAATCATGTACAATGTGATCATTACTATTTGCATGTAAATTTGATGAGCACTTTGTAACACTTCCCTGTCTGTTCTGGTTTTCCCTGGGGCTGTTACTAGTTCCACTCTGTTGCCTTCTTTGTTCCTCTGTCTTGTACTTTGAATTCCCTACTTGTATTTCTGAGACAGTTACAATAAGCAGCAAACTCCTGCCAGACCTTCCCAGAGTAAATCCTCACCTCCCTTCAGCTTCCTGTGGGTTTTTTCTTGTCATAAAAAAAAACCAAATCAGTATCCTACACCTCCTCGTGCCACACAGGGAGCCAGTGCCCACAGCAGGAAGACAAGGGATCGAAGACATGGTCTCTGCTTTCCACCTTTTCCAAGGGCTATGCAAGGTGATCACAGGTTCCCACTGTGGCACCAGAGGCAAACTGTCCCAGGGCCATGATGCAAGGTTTTCCCCTATAGCATGCTTTTCTTAGAGAATTCAGCAGTTGGTATCCCGATGGTATTCTTGCAGAAAAAAAAAATACTATTACTCAACTCCAAGAACATGGAAATCAGTCACTGAACCTTATTAATACTTGGCTGAGAAACAACATAAACTCCTACTTACAGCTCCTTGGTCCTGCATTCTTCCAGTAACATTTAAGCAATCTTGAAGCTCCCTTCTTTAAAAACCCTGATTATGTTACTTAACTCACAGCCTGAAGAGACAACTGTAAACTATGTCCAGAACAACTACTTATTTTCCACAACTGTTTTATAACAATACCTGGAACAAAAAGAGTCAGAAGTAGAGCAACCATAAAAGTTTATCTTAATCCTAGGTAATTTGTTCCACCTAAGCAGTTCATCCTTACAACTCTAGCTAAACCCTAGCATGAACCAGATGCAACTCCATATTCTCATGAAGTTGTAAAGAATAAGGGATAGAAAAAAGAGAAAGACTGTATTTACTGGGATGTTAGACTAAAATCTGTTCTGCATTTTTCACTAGGAAGCTGATTGTTAGGGGCATTCCAGAAGAGTTTTTCCTGAACACTGTGGACCAGACTTTTTTCCCTTTACAACAGTATAAATCACTGCAATGCAGACACAGCTCATCACTAGAATGATCATCATTAGTATTGTTATAGCAGTTCCGCTTGCATGCACCTCCTGCTGTGCAGCACATAATGCTTTCAGGAAGTACACTGCTCTGTCTGGCAATGAATGTATAACTGGGTGAATTAGGAATCCAGTCACTTGGAACTTTAAAGATCAAAGATATTGTTAGGGGTTAGTCCTAGGAATGATGTCTGAATAGATCTTTCAGTTGAGGGTG